CACTGGGGCCTTCGGTGGGGCTCCTATGGGGCCACGAAACGTGTGAGGGGTGTGCCGAATTGGGTGTGCGGGACGCATGCGGGCGGCAGCACTGGGGCCTTCGGTGGGGCTCCCTATGGGGCCACGAAACGTGTGAGGGGTGTGCCGAATTGGGTGGGCGGCAGCACTGGGGCCTTCGTGGGGCTCCCTATGGGGCCGCGAAGCGTGTGAGGGGTGTGCCGAATTGGGCGTGCGTGACGCATGCGGACGGCAGCACTGGGGCCTTCGGTGGGGCTCCCTATGGGGCCACGAAACGTGTGAGGGTGTGCCGAATTGGGTGTGCGGGACGCATGCGGGCGGCAGCACTGGGGCCTTCGGCGGAGCTCCCTATGGGGACTGGGGACATTCGTTGGGGCTCCCTATAGGAAGCCCACGAAGCGTGTGGGAGGGGTGTGCACAGAATTGGGTGTGGGTGCGCATGCTGGCGGCGCACTGGGGCCCATTCGGGTGGGGGCTCCCGGGGCTCCTCTATGGGGCCACGAAGCGTGTGAGGGTGTGCCGATTGGGTGTGGAGTGCGCATGAGGCGGCAGCACTGGGGCCTTCGGTGGGGCTTCCCTATGGGGCCACGAAACGTGTTAGGGGTGTGCCGAATTGGGTGTGCGGGACGCATTGGCGGGTCGGCAGCACTGGGGACCTTCGGTGGGGCTCCCTATTGGGCCACGAAGCGTGTGAGTGGGTGCCGAAGTGGTGTTGGTGAAGCATGCGGGCGCAGCCACTGGGGCCTTCGGTGGAGCTCCCTATGGGGCCACGAAGCGTGTGAGGGTGTGCCAGAATGGGGGGTGGAACCGCATGCGGGCGCAGCCACTGGGGCCTTCGGTGGAGCTCCCTATGGGGCCACGAAACGTGTGAGGGGTGTGCCGAAATGGGTGCGGCGCCGCCATGCGGACGCAGCCACTGGGGCCTTCGGTGGGGCTCCATATGGGGCCACGAATCGTGTGAGGGGTGTGCCGAATTGGGTGTGCGTGACGCATGCGGGCGGCAGCACTGGGGCCTTCGGTGGGGCTCCCTATGGGGCCACGAAACGTGTGAGGGGTGTGCCGAATTGGGTGTGCGTGACGCATAAGGGCGGCAGCACTGGGGCCTTCGGTGGGGCTCCCTAGGGGGCCACGAAACGTGTGAGGGGTGTGCCGAATTGGGTGTGCGTGATGCATGCGGGCGGCAGCACTGGGGCCTTCGGTGGGGCTCGCTAGGGGGCCACGAAACGTGTGAGGGGTGTGCCCAAGTGTGTGTGGGTGACACATGCGGGCGGCAGCACTGGGGCCTTCGGTGGGGCTCCCTGTGGGGCCACGAAACGTGTGAGGGGTGTGCCGAAGTGGGTGTGGCTGACGCGGAGGGGGAGGAGGGGGGAGGGGGAGGAGGAGTGAGTGAGGGACGCGGGGCGCTGTCTCTTCAAAACGAGGACCCAACACCACAGGATGGTTGGGATATATATATATATATATATATATATATATAGAGAGAGAGAGAGACAAACAAAAATTAGCCTGACGAGGGACCCAACCATATACAGGTGTGAGTACCGCAATAGTGATTCACTTTTTCGGTGGCGATCCCTATGAGGCAACGAACCGTGCTAGGGGTGTGCCGACATGAGTGGCGTGGTACACAACGCGAACGAAAACGATTGATCTGAGTACGTAGGGAGACTGAGCGCGGGTGAATCTGCGCGCGTGCGTCTGACTGTGAATGAATCTGCGTGCGAACGAGTCTACGTGCATGATACGAATATGACAAAGCGTGGCGCAATTGTGTATGAATGTCAATAGTTTGACAATGTCTGCCTCTGAGTACTCGTGACGCTGGGCGTGGCCGCCGCAAGGAGCTTCCCCGGGACTCCCCGACGGCATCGCCCGCGCGCCGCGACGCCAATGTCGGCGCGCCCACCGGCGCGGATCGCGCCCGCTTCCTCCCCTTCCTTTACTCCCTCTTTGCCCGCGCACTCAAAAGTCCAAGGTTGCGGGCGCAGCGCAGCGCGGAGTCCCCGCGACGCGCGCAGGTCGCCCCGGAGGGGTCCCAGCGACGCGCGCGGGTCGTCCACTGCGCGGAGCAAAGAGAGCTAGCTGGCTGGCTGATAGCGGGCCAGGCTCTTGCCGCTGGGCAGAGAGGACGCGTGCCTGCTACATCGCACACCACTGGGCCTTCGGTGGAGCTCCCTATGGAGGCCACGGAAACGTGTGCAGGGGGGTTGACCGAAATGGGTGTGCGGGACGCCATGCGGGAACACACACCTGGGCCTTCGGTCGGAGCTCCCTATGGGGCCACGAAACGTGTGAGGGGTGGGCCAAAATGACGCGGGGGGTGGCGGGACCGCATTGCGGGCAACAGTTACTGGGACCTTCGGTGGGAGCTCCCTATGGGCCACGAAAACGTGTGAAGGGTGTGGACGAAATGGGTTGCGGGACGCATGCGGGCACACCCAATGGGACCTTCGGTGGAGCTCCCTATGGGGCCACGAAACGCGTGAAGGGTGTGCCGACATGGGTGTGCGGGACGAATGCGGGCACACCCACTCGGACCTTCGGTGGAGCTCCGTATGGGGCCACGAAACGTGTGAGGGGTGTGCCGAAATGGGTGTGCGGGACGCATGCGGGCACACCCACTGGGACCTTCGGTGGAGCTCCCTATGGGGCCACGAAACGCGTGAGGGGTGTGCCGAAATGGGTGTGCGGGGACGCATGCGGGCACACCCACCGGGACCTTCGGTGGAGCTCCCTATGGGGCCACGAAACGCGTGAGGGGTGTGCCGAAATGGGTGTGCGGGGACGCATGCGGGCACACCCACTGGGACCTTCGGTGGAGCTCCCCATGGGGCCACGAAACGTGTGAGGGGTGTGCCGAAATGGGTGTGCGGGACGCATGCGGGCACACCCACTGGGACCTTCGGTTGAGCTCCCTATGAGGCCACGAAACGTGTGAGGGGTGGCCGAAATGGGCGTGCGGGACGCATGCGGGCACACCCATGCGGACCTTTCGGTGGAGCTCCCTATTGGGGCCACGGACGTGTGAAGGTGTGCCAAAACTGCGGGTCGTGCGGGACGCATGCGGGCACACCCACTGGGACCTCGGTGGAGCTCCCTATGGGGTCACGAAACGTGTGAGGGTGTGCCGAAATCGTGTGTGCGGGACGCATGCGGGCAAACCCACTCGGGACCTTTCGGGGAGCCACCCAGGGGGCCACGAAACGTGTGAGGGAGTGTGCGAAATGGGTGTGCGGACGCCATGCTGCACACCACTGGGACCTTCTCCTCGGTGAGCTCCCTATGGAGGCCGAAACGTGTGAGGGGTGTGCCGAAATGGGTGATGACGATGATGATGAAGATGGGAGGAGGGAGGGGGCAGCGGGAAGGAAGGAACGCGGGGCGCTGTCTCTTCAAAACGAGGACCCAACACCACAGGATGGTTGGGAACAACACAGAGAAAACACGCGGTCGAGTTGGGCAGCATGGCGAGGCAGTTCTGGCCCAAGCGCGCACGAACGAGATTGCGTGGGGCCGCGTCCCTCGCTGTCGCGCGCGGGCGGCGCGGCTCGGGAAGCGCTGCGCCGTGGCGATGCCCCAGGGCGGGCAGGGGATGACGGAGCCAGGGGCCCAGGCGGAGAGGGCCCTGCTGGACGCCGCGCTGCAGGACAGGCGCCAGCGGGCGACCGCCGTGGCCCAGCAGCGGGCCCGCGCGGAGGGTCGGCCACCGCTCGGGGCGCGCGCCGTCGACGCGGAGATCCCGGCGGAGGAGGCGGCGGCCAGCGCGGCACGCGGCGCGGAGGCGATCTCCGACAGCGACGGCGCGCCCCTGGTCAGCCCGGGGTCTCTTGAGATGCCTCCTGGGTGCCTCTTGAAAGCTTCGCGGGGGCCTGTCCAAGTCTCTTGGGCGATTCTGGGGGCCTTCTGGGTCTGGGGGGCCTCCTGGCGGTCCGGGGGGCCCATCCTGGTGCTGGAGGGTTCCGGAAGCCACCTCGGGCTCCCCCCCCCGGGGGCCCCGAGAACGCACGGCTGCGCCCTAGGATTCCAGGACTCTTCGGTGTGGGTCCCGTGCAAAGTGTCTACATGCCTTTTTGTTTGGAGGATCCTGGGGTGCGAAAGAGGATTGGGGGAACATGCGAGCCTTGCTCTATGAATTATCAACGCTAACAGCGAGTAGGAACTGATGGGAAGAAGCAGGGACGTATGCGCTCGATGCAGCATGATGCCAGGGTGCAACCCGAGCCATGAGGAAACTGTGTGGTGGTGGTGGTGTTATTGGTGGTGGTGTTATTGGTGGTGGTGATGGTGGTGGTGGTGGTGATGATGTGGTGACAGTGGTGAATGGTGACGGTAATGATGACCGCAGTGACCACGGCGATGGCGACGAGGACGACGACGATGGTGATGACGATGGGGGCGGCGGTGATCAGGATGAGGACGCGGGCGAGCAGGAGGGAGGGCGAGCATCGGCCACGTGCAGAGAGGGGTGGGGTTAAGTCGGGCCTGTCCTTCTACAGGATGAGTATTCAAAAATACTCAAAAATAGCCTGGGGACGATGTGTCGACCATTTTGTTAACTATTGTTGCATATTTGGTTTTTTTTGCTCTGCAGACGCATTTTTTCGCCCAAAATCCGCCTGTAGGGAGACATGCCCGGTCGAATGGCAGGGGGTGTGGGGGGGCTTCTGGGAAGGCGGTTGCTTCGTAGCAGACGCCGGCCTCATCAGAAGACGCATGGCCGGCGCCTTCTGAGAAGCGGCCTGCGTCTCAGACGCCCTCCCCCCTCCCCCTATACCCTTTGCGCGCCGCCGAGAGCAGGACGGGGGGCGGCACCGGCCGCACCTTGGGGAGGGCACCTCCCCAGATCCATGGCAACGTGGCGACCGCGCGCCCATTCCATGGATCGCCGAGTCGTGCCTGCGCGCCCCCGAGAGCAGCAGGCAGGGCGAGCAGGATGGGTCGGCCCCTGTCGCCGCGCCCGGCGCCCGCCTCGGGCCCGAGAGGTACGGCGAGCAGCTCGAGCGGCTCCGCGGGCTGCTCCGGCGCGCCACCGGGGCGGCGCGCTCGGCGCGCGCTGCGCCGCGGCCGCCTCCCCGCCCCGCGAGTCCTCTCCCTCCTCCTCCTGCCCTTCCCCTCCCTCCCTCCCTCCCTCTCTCCTTCCTCTTCCTCCTGCTGCTCCTCCTCCTCCTGCTCCTCCTCCTCCTCCTCGCCTATCCTCTTCCTCTTCCTCTTCCTCCTCCTCCTCCTCCTCCTCCTCCTCCTCCCCTATGCTTCTTCGGCTGCTCTCCTTATCCTTCCCCTCCCGCTGGCCTCCCCCTTTCCTGGCCACCTTCTCCGCCCCTGGGGGCAGCAGCGGGCAATGCGTGTACAGTGGGGAGCCCATGCCAAGAGACACCCTGCTTGCCTCCAGGGTGCACCATGACATCAAAGAAGAAACACATCTGCATACACAGATGCACTTCCGACGACCCGCGCGGAGTTCTTGTATGTGCGCTGGGCCCCCAAGGCGGCCCGTCCGTCGCCGCCCCTGGCGCGGTGCGCGCGCCATGGCGGGGGGGTCCAGCGCAGATCCGAGAAATCCGCGCGGACCGTCGAAAGTTCCTATTTACAGTGGAAGCCCATGCCAAGAGACACCCTGCTTGCCTCCAGGGTGCCCTGGGGGTTTCTGGGGTCTCAGGGTTGAGTTTCTTGTGGAAGGTTCCTTGTGGTCGAGCGCGCCTACTGTATCTCGGAGGGCATCGATCAAAGAAGGGGGGTCTCACGCCCTCCCCCGTCGGAGGCCGACAAAGCTGCGTCTTCGATCCCTTTCGGGGCGCGCGCTGGGGCGATTTTGGGCGCTGTTCGGTCCGTCCTGGCGCCCCCTTGGGTCCTGCTTGGGCCCCTCCTGGGGCTGTCTTGGGCCGCGAGAAGGCCCGAACCATTGATCTGCCACAGCTTTGGGAGGATTTGAGCCTCCCGGAGGAGGAGGAGGAGGAGGAGGAGGAGGAGGAGGAGGAGGAGGAGGAGGAGGAGGAGGAGGTGGAGGAGGAGGAGGAGGAGGAGGACTGACTGACTGACGAGGCGTGCGGAGACCAGGTCTAGCCTGGGCGCAGGAACAAAATCAGACATGCGGGAACTTACCTCCGCTCTTGGGGGGCAATCCCCTGGACAGCCGTGACAGAACCTCTTTCCCTGCTTTGGAGGGGGGGCTGTCCGTCTTGCAGGGCTTAGACAAACTCTGCGCATTCACCGTCGCATGAGCGCCGCAATGCAAACAGTAAAGAACTCCTCTCAAAACTTGCAATCGATGACTCCTGGCACACCTGGGGTACAAGGGGTGGGCCAGAGGGTCAGAGGAGAGGTGGGAAGGCCCCGCACACGGGCCAGGGAAAAAGTCTTGGACCTTCCCCCTCAACAGGAACTTACGCGAGCAAATCTGACACTGGAGGCAAGACCCTCGGCGCGTCGGCTCGTGGCCCGCCGCCCTCAGACGGCCTTTGCGCACCAGAAAGGACGGCAAGGGTGCAGGCCTTGGGGGGGGGCGCCCGAGCCTGTCCGCGACACGCCGAGGGTTCTCCGAAACAACCTCCTTATGGACCGCCAGCAGGCGGTCCAGAGTGTGACTAGTTATACGATCAACAAACCTAGTAGTTTCAACTTGCTCATCAGTGGGGGCAGCCCTTTGGGCCGCCCAGCCCGCGAAGAAATCAGCACAAAAGTTCAAAAAATACTCAACCTCACCGATAGAATAATATGCCCTCTGTTGGGCCGAGGCGTGGCTCTTGGTCCAGATGACTTCGACCTGACCAGGGCCCCGATCGTCGATCGCATTCCAGATCAGAGCCCAGAGATCGAGCATCGAGCTGTTCGCCATCACCTGAGCCCGTGGCTGCCTGACCCCTTTGACCAGGGGCAAGTAATCAGAATAACAGACAATATCACCACTCGTTCGCAGAAGGACAGTCAGGAAGGCATACAACTCAGACCTCGGACTGGATTGTTCAGGAGTAGGTAAGGTACCACAGAGGACCGTAGATAACTGCAAAGATAGCCCATCAGGATCACCCAAGCACACAATAGACCATGCACAACGTCGTAGTCTCTTATCCTTGGCGTATACACCTCCAGAGCCATCAAGGCCCCAAATACCACCAAGAACACGATGTTGGACTCGTAGGGGACCCCAAGCCCACAGGAGCTCCTTCGGGGACGGCAGGTGACCACAGGTAGCGTCCCAGCTAGGAAACCCACGAGTGAAGAAGGCACTCTGAGGGTCAGCCCCAAGAGCCTCAGGAACCAAATATTCACTTGCAGCAGCGGCAGGGTCAGGTAGGTACGAATTGCACGGGCACTGCCAAGCCCGATGCAACGGAGTTTCTTTATCATCTCCACATCGGAAGCACCGGCCTGATGTACGGTAGCCAGCGTCTTGTAGCCGACTTTCAGGCCAGCATCCTCCAACAACAATGGTGGTCAAGAGTGCAGCATTCTTGAAATCACCTTCATCCAGCAGCTTCTTGTGCTTGGAACGAAAAACAGAGAAGTCAGCACCAGAAGAGAGACCTTGCCCACACCAATGCTGACTAGCGGCAGACCAAATTGCGGCAGAGCAACTCTCTCGGACACAGGAGGTGACATGATACCGAAAATCAATACGATCCATTCTTAGGGGAGCTCTGCCTTCCACTATCCACTCATCGATATGGGAGGGTTGCCATCCTAGGTCCAAGACAGTAGCATACAAAGCGGCGATGGGACCGCGAACGAACCGCCATCGGTCAGACGCACGAGCACGGCCCACTGTCGCATGCAATTGAGACCAGACCTTTCGAGCTCCTCCGCGCAAGCCTTCAGACAAGGATGACCACACTTCAGAGATTAGGGTAAGTTGTTCAACGCGTAGCCTATAGACAGGGTCATCCTTAGTATCATGCAATACTCGCAATACGCTGGTAGTACATGCCCCCGACGACCAGAACCCCGAACAGGAAGCCGCGGAGCCTCTAAACTGCTTCAATATTCCAGGTGGAAGTCCTGACATAGCATGCCCCCAAGAGCCCACTGAGAGGATGCCAGGCTTGAAGACCTTACGCGAAGCTCCACGCAACCTTGCAAGGTAGGACAGCTTACGACCACGTCGGAATGCGATAGCACGTCTCTCATATGTTTTCCACGCAGTGCGCCTTCGGCCAGCTGAGGTGACTGTGCCCAGGTCTTTCACACTGGGCGAGAAAGTGATGGAAACTCCATGCTTCTTAAACTCTTTTTGAAGGAGTCGCTGCAACTCCACAGACGAGGCAACTGCAAGAGACTTGGGGCTGACCACACAGCCAAGACCTGATATATCATGCTGGAAAGCCGCCGCCGCAGGCGGCAAATAACGACGAATAAACTCTCGAGTGCCCTGCAAGTACTGGGTGATGTCGTCAACATAAGACCTAATGGGAACACGGACCTGTGGGAGATCACCAAGGCCCTGTGGAACCCTGCTATGGGCCTTCTCCAGTACCCCGTACAAGTAGCACTTCACCCAGGGCATACTCTGACTACAACCCGCCAGGATAGACTCCCCAGCCTCAATAACCCGAGAGAGGTTGCCAGAAACCTCCAACAGCCTCGGAGCAGTGTGGATGAGGAGCCCCAAATACAGGAGGTGCCCAGGGTACCCACGGTTGGTGGCAAAGTGGAGGAGCTTGCAGGGGCTCACGGAGTCGAAGAACTTCTCGAGGCCCCAATGGAGCGCACAAGATTCGAACCCACATGCACGGGCCACTTCATGGGCCAGTTCACGAAATAAAGCAGCCTTAAGAGCAGAGGACCCTTTGACAGCAGAGTCCCAGAAATCCAGATGCTCTTTATTCCAATCATCGATATCAAAGCCGCGGGCTTTGCAGTAGATTCTGTAAAGACTGGGGCACTTGACAATGGCACGCTCATCACAAATCGACTTAGGCAGCATGGACATGAGGCAGACATAGCACTGAGGAGGAAAGCTCAAAGTTTGCTCAACTTGACGCATGATACCTGTGAACACTTCGAGGGAGTCGATGGGAGCGGAGAACAAACTGCGTGGCGCCAGCATGTCGACGCCTAGCGACGTGTGTGGCTTGAAACATGTACAGGCCTTAGCAATGTCATGCACTTCAAGCGGGTCCGAATCTTGCAGAACGACCAATGCTTGCGAACGAAGCTCACGAAGGCCTGCCTCCAGACACACACGCTGTTCAGAGTTTGGGGTCCACCATTTACTCCACTTCCGTTCCCGAAAACTCATCATCGAGGTAGGGGTGTCCACGATACCCTCAGGAGTCAAGAAATACTCAACGCAAACTTTCTCTTCAGCTTTCAAATAGCGGTGGACGGGGCTAGCACCTCTGGGAAGGGATGACTGCAACCAAGTGCGCATGCTGCCCCTGGCCTTGGCATGTGCGAGAGACCATGCACGAGTACACACAACACCTGCAGCCTCAACGAGTTCTTCCAACCTATGACACACGTAGGGTGGTTGGTTCAAGGAATCCTTCCACGACACAGCTGCTTGAGAACTCGCAAGAGGCTCGATGTGAGAAAAAACGTGGCACGCCAAATCAGCCAAGACGCGCCTGTGCTGCATCGCGGCCTGAGAATACGGATCTTTACGAGTCAACTTCATCAACTCATACAGGCGACTGGAAACAAGAGACCAATATGACAAGTCAGGGTTCTTGAAACTCTGCGCCTGCACGTTGCGGGTCATCGGGGACGAGTCCTTACGCTTCAGCATACAACCCCTGCCTAAGTAACGGTGCGGGTCGGTGACAATGGCACATGCGCGAGACAAACCACGGAGCTCCATTGCTCTAGACCAGATAGAGTACTGCATCCCAAGACTCCGAGACAAACCTTCCAAAGTATGAGCAGGCATCGCCTGGTGGAGGTCCTCGGGCATCACCAAGGGGGCCTCCAGGAAACTGGGAGCGGCGGCAGCCATGTTACTCAACCAATGGTTATCAGGTCCATACGCTTCAGGGATCTCCAGGGGCTTCACACGGAGACAAACGGGTTCCACCATAGCCTCAAGGTCCAACAGCACGTCCAGGCACGCATGGGTCTTGAACGGGGACAGGAGGTCGGCGGAGACTCGCAGATATCCAGACAACCGATTCGAACAGACAACATAGCCAATCAAGGACTCACCAACCGAACAGGTGAACTCAACGTTTTTGGGAACCAGGGCCCTAGCGTCCATCAGCTCCAAGATACCCGAATCCTCCAGGAAATCGGCAGACATGTTGTAGTCCCCCATCAGGAACCACGGGATAGACAGCCCACGGACAAACTCGGCAACCGCACGAAGCCGAGATGAATTCTCACCAGAGACTCCAATGGAAGGAATGAGGTAGATCACACCTACTGCAACAGTGCATGACTTCATACGCATCTCAAGGAAGAACCAACAATTTCCTGCTCCAACCTGGACTGCACCCTTAGCTTGAATCAGGAACTTCCGTATGCACAACCTGGGCTGTACAGCAGCCCCGACTCCTCCATGAGTGCCTCCACCTGGGGACGGTAAAGCACTCTGGAAATGAGGATTCCACTTCATCTGCCGACAGGTCTTCTTGGCACGGAACAGGTTCGTCCCTTCAAGGTGATGTTCCGCCATGAACACTCCATCCACCTCAGCGACCTTAGTTGCCAAGAAGTCCTGAGTCAGCTTGGACCACTGTGTGATATTCACAAACTTAAACTTGACCTGAGTGCTCGCAGCTGGCAACTGACAAGGTGCTAGCGAGCATGTGCCTTCGGCTCGCTGGGCCGAAGGCAACATATCATTAAAGAGGCTGCTGCGAGCGGGCGTCAGAGGCGGCAGCACGCCCAGCGCCTTTCGCAGCGGGAGCAGCATCAGGGAGATGTCCAGGTGGTACGGCGGCGGCCGCACGAGGAACCCCCATCTGCTTGGCCGTGGCATCACAGAAATTGCGGTACATGTCGGCCGTGACGGAGGACACCACTCTGGCACGCTTGCCCGCCTTCGCCATGATGCGATTGGAGAGGAGGTCGGTATACTCCTGGGCCGCCTGCACGTCCAGTCCCTGCTCCACCGCACGCCTCTTGAGGTCACGGTACCTGTCGCGATCCTGGGGCTCCATGTCATTGTCGGCAACCTCACTGCCCAGGTCGGAAAGGTTATCTTCATCGCCAACGCCTCGCATCCGCTGCAGATGGAGACGGTACTGCTGCCACTGCTCGAGGCCGATGGCCGAGGAGGCAACCAGCTTCTCGAGGTCATCATCGGAGAAGGTGTGCAGGTTGGCCTCAACGAACATGTAGTCCACAACCTTGCCGCGCAACCAAGGGACATCTGCATCATCCTCCTCCATGGGCTGTGGCTCCTCCATGGGCGGCGCCTCCGCGCCGCCGCTGGCCTGGGCACCTGCTCCCGCGGCGGCCGCGTCTCCAGTGCCTGGGGCACGAGAGGCGGCCGCAGCGCCCGCTGGGGCGGTGGCGGGTGCTGCACCGAGGACGCCAGCGGCGGGGGGCACTGAAGCAGCAGCGCGAGCATCCGCGGCAGCACGAGCCCCTTCGGCGGCACGCTGACGACGGCGCTGCTCAACTTCATGACGCTTCTCCTTCTTGAAGGTCTGTACATCGAATGAGGCCTTACGTTCATTAGCTTCACGAGTGGTGGCTCGAGCCTGCTCCAGCTCCTGTACCGCCTCCAAGTGCAAGCTCTGTGCCTCGTCCATATGCTTCTTCGCCTTGTTGAACCTGTCCAGCCGCCACTGCACCTCCTGGTGCGCCAGGCGCTCGGCCTTGGTGGCCTGCTCGACGGTCTTGGCGAGGGAAGTCTGTTCCGCAGCTGCCATACGATCCAATTCCA